ACCTCTGCTCTGCAACGCTCAGCTCGGGATTGATTTGTCCAGTTTCAGTCCCCTAAAGGTCTTTCAGTAGTTTCAGCAAATAGTCAAAAGCATTTCAATGATACACAACAAAGACCACACGGGAAAAAAGTTTTAATCAAAAACTTCATAGTCTTAACACACATACACACAAGCAAATTTTTATTTACTCATTCCTTTTGCCAGCTGAGCTTTATTTTGAAAATTTAAAAAGCCAGCCTTGAACACTAAAATTACTCATTTTATTCAAAAACTGATTTTCCAACATTTTTAGCATTATTAGATTTTCTTTTTAATCAGCACCTGTGCCACAGACAGCATTCTGTATTTCAAATTTACAGCTACAAATATTCGGCAAGTAGCCACAAATATTCTACAAGCTCGTAAAAAAAAAAATAGAGTGGATTACTGAGTAAAAAAACTATCACAATACATCTCTGATCTTGTAGTTGGATCTACACAGATCATCTCCCTTCACTCAAAAAGCCATCAGCACTCCTTAACAGTTTGCTGGCAACGTTTCTAGCATTCCAAATAAATTTCTCAATTTTATTTAAAATAATCATTATAAATACAGTCCTGTATCTTATTTTGTAAGCACTACTCCAAAACTGTAAACAGCTTAGCTAATTCCTGCTATTCTGCAGAGCTCTTGGAATGGTTTATGTAAGACCTTGTTTTAATGATACTTCATTATAATATGGACAAAACCCTCTCATTTTGCAATCTCCATATTAAATTTCATGCATGCATAAGTAGGGAATATTCCAAGACGAAAAGCTACTCAAGAGAGCATCCATTCTCATAATTTGTGCCTTTCACCTTATACCACCAGGAAGCTTTCGCCTAAAACTTAGGCTGCACGTACAGAAACTAGAATACAACTGACACTGTATTATCCATGGGAAGACTATGTAAATCGTGGGTTAAGCAGGGTCAGTTTTTTCTACCGAAACACCCCTGGCTTCCACAAAGTACAGTGCTGCTTCTGTAAGACCCCATACTTATTATCTGCTGCTATTCTAAGGCTGACCTTCTTCCCCCACAGAAAGCTATCCACCAATTTTAAAATACGTGCGTATTCTCAGTGCATCCCTGTAATTTAATTTGCGTTATTTATCTTACCATTTTTCCCCTTTGTCCAGGTTAGCTTTTCGCTCTCCCAGTTATTACTCCAAGTAGCGCAGAATTGACTATCCACAACAAATACTCAATTTTTAGATCTTTTGATTTAAAAATCCTCTGGAGCTCTCCAGTACTCTAAATAGCACCTTATGGGACGTTCTTGACAAACATTTCTGTTCTCAAGTATTTCACAAGCTGTCAGTGACTCCAGTTACAAACAGCTTTCAAGGAAAAACACTGCTGTGATACCCTCTGACTCCCCAACCTGTCTTTCCCTGTGAACCATGACCACCAGAAGAGCCAATGTTCCAGCTGTTGAGGGGTTCCAGCTGTTGAGCCCAGACCGGTACGACCGAGCTGATGGGAGTCTTCAGGTACTGAACTGGGTCCGTTCATGACTTTTGAGCTTTTGGGAATTTCAGAGAATTTAGTTTTGCATGGGAACAGGATTAAAAGCAAGATAGGGGCTGTCAGTGAAGCAGAGTTCTTGTCCCCTCACTGCTTATACCACTAAGCAAACACTCCACCCACGAATCTTAAACAATTAGAAGAAAAAGCACAACCTGACTTGTGTCCAGAGGTGAACTGGAGGTAAGCAGTAAACCAGCATGTATGAGGAACAACATCAACAGCAGCACAGTTAACAGACACCACATATACTGTAAAAACTTTTCATAGACACACACAAAAATAATAAGCTTCTCGGTGTTTTACTAAGCACATGGTAAGTCTGTCAAAATCACTGAATGCACTTGGACAAACAAAAAGCTTCAGAAAAGTGTTAACAGAGGAAGAAAACTACCAGGTCAAAACACAACTTTAGAATCTGAGAGGAATGTGGAGAAAAAAAACCGTACACCTTTCAATCTGCCCCAAAAGAACCCCGGTAACTCACATGAAGTTCATGCCTCCCATTTTGAACACACCAAAGTGACAGTACATAGAATACGTAACACTGATATTCTTCAGTCATTGACACAGCTACATAATAAGTAGATTCTTAAAAACAATCCAGCCTATGTACTGCGTAGGACTGTAGCTTTGAAGAACAGTTCAAGTCAAGCAATTTTATAATTAAAAACAACAGAAGAAATAGAAAAGCAGGCAGATTAAGTGGCTTGACAGACACCACAGGTAAGATCAGTGGGCAAAAAGCAGTTACCGCTCAAATCCTGGCTCTGTGCTTAATAAATTAATCTCAGCTTCATCATTTACAACATGTCCCTTCCATTTCTTTGTCAATATTCACAAGAACATCAGTCTCTGCTGCTTAAAAAGACTCTGAAACATGTTTGGCTTACACGATACTGTTCCCTTTGGTGGTTTTTTTTTTTTCCTTTTCTTTTTTAAATTTAAACAGAAATTCAGCAATCTCAGAGTCAAGTATATGAACGACCATAACTCCAGAACACTCTTCTTCCAGCAACAAATTCATTGTAAGGGTATAGCTCAACAAGCACCTTAAGCACACGTAAGCCTGATACTGCTTCTAAATGCTTTTTCACTACATTTGGGGAGGCACATGGGGAACCAGACTGGAGAATCGCTCCAGCTGGAAACTAACATAACAAAAGTATACCAATTATTTTCAGCCACAGCATTTTCTTGACTTAGCTTACTGCCTGGCTGCCAAAGCAGTGTTTCTTCTGCCAAGGGGTATGCGAAAACAAGGACAAACGCAATAATGAAAGCATCTTTTCTTCCTGTGGCAGCAACAACTTCTGCCACTGTAAAGTATTTATGTAGCCATGGATTAAATAAAGGTATGGCATTCATTCCTGCCAAGACAACTCTTTCTCTGGCAGTGAACTAACCTGTTTGTTAAGTGATTCAGTCTTAAGAAACACCTTCTGTTATATTTTTTCTTAATAAAACAATTTTACAGAACTTAGGCAATGGGACTATGCACAATTGAACTGGCAGACTCAAGGGCACCTCTTCGAAATAACAAGAGTTCATTTTAAACAAAATCTACTTCCAGCAAAGGAACAGAACCAGTCCTGGAAAAGGTGTTAGCTCAAAAAGGACGGTGATTCTCAAGGAAAGTTTTTGCAAAGGAAAAAAAATCTCTCTATATACGCATACATGTATTTTTAATTTAGCTTTAGATTTTAGAAAGCAACGTTGTTTTGCCAGGATTCTGTACCCTTCACTCCATCCCATCTCTCTCCGGCTTTTTTCTTTCCTATTTAAGAGTCAACTCCACAACATGAACGATGCAAGTAGAGACACAAGAGCAAACACATTAAGGAGGCTGAAATGAAACCTTTAATCTACTTTTAATTTATTGTATTTTAATCACCAAAGGAACTGGTACATGTCAGCCACTGATGATGCACCGCAATTACTGCATCTAGCTATGTTGATATGCCACACTTGTTTACTGCTACTCCTAACTTAGGCGTCCACAGACAAGGCTTTATACTGGCTTATAAATAAAAAAAGCAAGAGTGAAAAAAGTTTCCTGTAGAAATAAATAGTTACTATTTTGCAGTGACCTAGGTTTTATAGCCCAGATAGCAGGTCACGACACCTCTTCAGGTTCAATTTATGCTCCTCAAAGCCTTAGAAATGTTGTTAGAGGTGCCAAGAATTTGCCTACAGAGCCAACTCCAGCTCTAAAGATTACTGCTCTAGCTACGTTGAGACACCAATCTAAACTTGAGCACTTTTTAAGTGTAACTCTTGCTATAAAGTGTTTGTGGGCATTCCTGGCCTCAAATCAAACATCCCAGGCACTAAGCAGCACTGGATATGTTCACTACAGTGTTTCAGAGATGTACAAATTAGTTTTACTGCCCTCTATAAAGGCCTACTATATAGTCATTTTGCAAATAAAGATACCAGAGTGTTTCTTGAACTCTAGATTACTTGGGGTTCTGGATAGCGCAGTATGTCAACAACACCGCTCAATAATCTAACAAGTTCAGCCTTCCTCACACTACCTAACATTATAAACACTCTAGAATTGTGCTTAAAATAAGAAAGGTAGGAAAGAAAAACCATTTCAAGAACGTCTGCTCCGCACGCTCTCTCTAACCAGCAGCTCCAACATCAGTGCAATTGTTCCTGACGCCAAAACCCTATAGAACTAGTCAGGAGGTCTCGAGACCCACAGCTTCCTAACTCAGCTGTGTGAGCTCAAAACAAATCACTAACAACCACAACGCACAGTAATGGAAAAACAGAGCACATCACCTCCATAGCTACTGTTCATCCTGCTGGCCAAAAACAGGTATATAATTAAGCAGAGCAGAAGAGACACGTGTATGTTAAGGGAGCTTTAGAAATGTAAAACGGTGGCTAACACCTCACTCCCAATAAAGCACTACACTATGAGACAATCCCTGCTATATCATCTGCCCTGAGGAGGGGAAGGAGAATTCTTCTCTTCCCTTCCCAAGTTAGCATGAAAAACTGCATCCACCCCTAACACAAAATCAAAACAAACGAAACACACAGAGAAATTACTGCTAGTACTTCCTCTTCGACAGAGTTACACCAAGAGATTTACCTTCCTTCTCAGGACGCGTACAGAGCTCACCCAAAAGAAATCCTATTCACCCACAACGGTACCCTCCCTATGTTAAGCCCTAGCACAACAATCATCTTAACACGCTAGAAGGCACTCGATGGATGAGGCACAATAACATCTAACGCTCTCTAGTTTCAGCGAATAACAAATTTAACTATTCTTTCAGTACCTTTTTACGAACAGTAACTTGGCAGATGTCAAGACACAGGGTCGGTTGCTGTGACAAAGAGGTATGCCTTCACCTAACTTGTAAACAGCAAAGAGCACCACCAGACTGACGCAAGCCAGCAGTATTTAAAAAACAAACTCGCATGACTCGTACCGGTAAGTCCACGCTGACATCTGTCCCATCCAACAGCGCTACTCGGCAGGTGATGATGGATTTTGCGTCCCCAGCTGCAGGGATGTGGGTTGCAGCTCTCTGGGCCTCTCTCAGCCGCTCCTTCTCCGCATGCTTACGCATAGACCGCCGTCCAAGCGTTCGACGAAAGAAGCTCAGCATCTTTGCTACGAAATACAAAACAGAAAAAAAACACGTTAATGTTAGTTTTTCACAGAAAAAAAAAAAGAAAATAATAGCCCGTACTTAAAATTCTCAGAAAATGCCAGACTTTGATAAAGAACTGGCAGAGATTCAAACTAACGCTTCACTTCTTTGGATTTACATACCCCCAGTCTTCGGCTACTTTGAAAAAAAACTCAGCTCAAACCTCTGCTGGCAGTTGGGTGATTTTTAGGACAGGCTGCAAGCACCTTAGGGAGAACACAGCGATGGTGTAGCTCTCCCACACCTAACTGCAAGCTTTCATTAACACAAACGCTACCGCTCTCTCCAACGAGACGGCGATGCTCTTCCGCAGCTGGAAAGCAACACCGAGCCGCAGCCCGCTCC